GAAAAATGGAAAACAAATAGGGACTAACATTTCGAAATATTAGTTTTCTTAATCAATACAAGATATCCATAAATTTTTTATACTTAATCAATACAAAATATCAAACATGTGTGAAAAACAAAATGGTCTCTATTTGGTAGAGATTACAATCGAATTTTAAATAGATTTTGATAAAAAAAAAATTGAAAAAAAAAGGTGGACTCGTGTAGGTAGGCTATTAGTATTAATTAGGGCTCAAGTGATTGTATAGTGGAATGCATGTGTCAATTTCTTCATTGGCTGTGTTATCTTAATGGACAAGAATTGCTCCAATCATTGGATACTCTAATTACTTCTTATGACATTAATCTAATAAATAGAACAATTTGTTAATAACATAATCAAAAGTGAAATAATATTTTTAAATTTATAAATAATAAATAAAGAGAAGTAGCAGTGAGTGTCACAAAATATATGAATAATGAATAATGGTTATAAATATGTGATTGGAATTGATGTATGATTTTATAAATCTATATTCAAGTTAGAATAAACTGAAACGATCACCGTAACCCGTTTAAAGAAATTGTGCATGAAAATGAAAATTAATCCGTTTACAAGTGAGATACTGTATTGAAGATAAAATTTAAATAATAAACATGTGACTACCTCTAATCAACATAATTTAATATAATATTATTTTTTAATTATATTGGAAATTGTAATACGTATAGTTTTGGTTTGGATTATTTTCTTCTCACTTACCTATTATATAGTCATAATTTGCAGTACTCAAAATAGCTTTAGAAGTAGGACTTATTTGAAGCAACCTTTATTTCTCATAATTATACTCGACATAATTAAACAACAATATCACACGAGTACTATGTTAGTGAATAGACATGTTTAAATCTTTTCTTCCCTTCTCGTTGAAATTCAATCTGATATTATATTTTAATACGTAAGTGATCGTCAAGGAATTGTTTAAATGTGTATTCATATCCTTATTAATCGATATGCATCTCCATATATCTAATCAATGTGAAATATGATTGAACGTTTCTCCAACAATATCCTCTTGAACGAAGTACCATTATCACGGTCATTTCTCGAGTGATGATCTCAAATATCCATCTTCATTAAACAAAGTAGATCACACACTTAGTCAAGATTTACACGTCACTAGATTTGCATTACTACAGATGTCCACCACCTACACGATTTCACTATCGTCGATTCTCCCTCCATCATTACATATAGAGCCTTTCATTTTTTTCACAAAAATTCTGATTCATTTTTATTTATTCACACAAAGAGTCAACGCTATCGTCTTTGTATCATTAGCTCTTGTTACGCCTCCATTTTTAAAAATTCATTTTTATCCCAAGCTAATTTTTAATTACATATTTAATAAGATCCAGAATTTTAATAAACTATTTTACCAAATATTTCACAATTTCTTTTATCAAAATCTAATAAAAATTTAATTTTATCCAAATGAAACTAGATCTTAATTTGTAACACTTGAATTTCTATTTTAAATTGTAAATTTGTTAGGTCAATTATATCGACTCACAGCCATCGTCAAGTCTAGTAGAAGTCATGACACGGTATGACTTTGTGACAAAACTTGGAAGGTGGCATCCAGGGAAGCATGAAAGTGAAGTTCCTTGTGTGGGTCCACTGGCCTGTCACTTCTCTTCTTCCATGGGCCATATATATCACTATCGACATATATGGTCCACAGACGCCTCATCTTATTTCGTACCTTGCTTTTTATTAAAGAAATAAAACACAACATAAATATTATAATCTCATTATTGTATTAAAAAAAATAAAAAATAAAAAATAAAAAATAAAGCACTCTTAATGAAACCCACTAGATTTGAACTTCGTTAAATCAAGATTTAATTTAAATTATATCGACATTTTCTAACTGTGGAGAAGTTTCAGCTGCGGTCACTGAACTTTTAGTAAAATTTCAATTGGATCAGTAAATTTTAATTTGTCTCAATTAAATATTGAACTTCAATTTACTTTTAATTGAAATTTAGTAAGCTAATAGAAGAAATTAAAATTCAATAACATGATTGAAACTCGGCTAAAAGTTCAGTGAAATTTTCCCTCATATTGCCCATTGAGATGGTTTATCTATTTACAATAACTTATTCACCAATTAAATAATGTGTCATGTCATCGGTGCTTAACGTAAGCTAAGTATTGATGCTTAGGAGATCATTTCCTTTATATATATATATGTCACATGACGTATTACTCTGACATTTTTTTTCTTTTTATTTTAATTCATGGTCAAGAATGTTTTGTCGTATGTTTTTCCTTTATTTTTGATCGCTTCTCCACAAAACAAAGTGCCTCTATTAAGTTTAAAGAATTTGTCCATAACTTATACAAACAATCAATAAAAGTAATCAATTCAAGTAATTGGAAGGAAAAACATTCAACGAATATTTAATAGTAAATATCAATTCAAGTAAACACAATTCAATAAATGTAAGTCAAATTGGATATAATCATTCCAGATCCATTATATATACACAATTTAAAAATCATTCCATATAACATAAATTATTTCAAATCAATTTTACACAATTCAATATACAAAATTTAAAAGTCATTCCTAAACATAAATCGAACAGAAAGAAAATAAAGTATAAATGTAATTTACACTCATTTTCTCTATCACTTTGAATTTTGTTAAAAAAAATAAAAATTTGAAATTATAAATTATTATTATCTGCCAACCCCCTTTCATTCAAACGCAAAAATAACTTAAGTTGATTGTATCAAATGAGGCTGATAGTGTTGTAATGACAATCACTTTACATCAGCGTTAGAGTAAATTTGTAGAAAAAAAAAATACATAGGTTCTAATTGGTTAAAAAATTGATTAAGAAGTGAAGATTTGCAATGGATATGATCATTTGTGGAGAAATTATCGACAATTTTTTAAAAATCAGTAAGTTAGAGTTTTGATAATAGGGATGAGTAAGAGAATCGCGAGAAAGTGAGAGAAAATGTTAGATCCATTGTGATTTAAAATATAAATAAATAAATTCCCCAAAAGTTGAGGTGTCGAGTGACCTGACTTCCCTTCGCCAATAAATAAGAAAAGTTATTTAACCTAAATAACTGGCTGTGTCTTGATAAAGATATGTAGACTTAAGAAAATAGATTGAACGAGTCAAGTCACACGCATGGACGTGCTTTGGGCACAACTAGATGGAGAATGGAAAACAAAGGCTAGTTGAGTCAAACTCGACGCTGATGAAATGAAAAAGTGCCTATTCTAGGCACGACACGACAAAGAACGGAGTGCTCCACGGCCACTAACCCACTAATTACATGAAGTCATAGCTTGTCCCTTCATCGTCGTTAACATCGTTTCGATAAACTGGTGGCAGTGGGATGGACGGGCGGGAGCGGTAAAGAGTTGTCAGTGTAAATCTAAAAAGAGAAAAGCTACTAGTACAGGGACCTGTGTCCCTGCCAGGCGAGAAACAAGTGGTGATGGGCCCACAATTTTTTTTTTAAATACACATGGGGCCCGCCCCCAAACAGTGTGAAACCTGCACATGTACATGCAAGGTTTTTCCATCTAAAAGATAGGATAATTGAATAAATTGATTGGTGGAGGGGGGTGAGTGGGGTATATATCTCAGTTTCGAAGGAATAAACTTAAAATCTTATTTCTGAAATTAAAAGTTAAAATATGGGTGTGGATAAAGAATAACAATAACAATCCATTTGTTTTTCTAGCTACTAAGATCAAACAAGTTACGTCTTTAACCGTGGTTGTCCAAATGTTAGAAACAAAATCACGATAATTTTTAGATATTCTCCTATGTTGAAATATCTGGATGGATCACTCAACTGAAAAAAAAATAAAATAAAAATAAAAAAAATTGAGAACCAATTAGAAACAAATCTGTTATTCCATGAAAACTAGAAATTCAATTTTTTTCCTCATATAACCTTCAACGGCACTTGAAATACCAGCTGAGAAAAGTTCATGCCAAAATTGACTGGTTCACCAACATCGGTCAGTTCAGTTCGTTCTTGTGATGTATGAACCAATTTTTTTTTTTTTTTTTTGGATGGATGACAACCTCGGATTCTAATCAACACTTATGTGGAAATAATTAATAACAACAGGAAAATAAAATACTACCTTGAATTTGATAAGCAATCTCGTATTTGCTTATTTGACAATTAATTGGAGCAAATGTGCAGCGTCTTATGTGAAGGTGGGGACACAGGAAGCAGTGGGGTCCACTTATGGGTACCTCTCCACGTATTATGAAAAAACTATATCCATTTAAAGAACTTGTTTTTCACAAAAAATCTTTTTCAATTAAGGCATATTTTTTAGTGATTATGAGAATTAATTTTTTGACCGTTAAAAAAAAAATGGGTTCTACTTGTGAGGAAAGAAGTAAAAAATGACAGCCGAAATAGTGAAATAACGATAAAAAAAATTGCTGCCAAACGAGAGTTTAATTCTTTTAGGGTAGGGGCCAGGGCGTACATTAGAATATCCCTAAGCCCGACAAATAGGCAAGTTCTCACCAAAATTGGTTAGCTCAATTGATATCAGAATTCAATTAAATATCATTTAAGGGAATGTCATGCGTTCGAATTCTAGAGATGAGATAGAAATTCGTGAGGAATTAGATTGACATTCGTTTTAAATTTGTTACTTTAACACATGATCATTTACTTTTTCTAAACCGATGTCTACTCCACATTTACTATGAAGTGAATAATGCTGTTGGACCCAAATGTGCAAATTAATAACTGAAGGAAAATAAATACTAATTTGAATTTGATAAGCAACCGCGTTTTTGCTTATTTACCCGATGTATTGGGACAAAAGTGCGTCGTATTGTACGAAGGTAGGGACCACAGTAATCAGTGGGCCCGCTTTTGGTTGCCTTCCCACGACAGAATTGTCTTCATATGTACTGAGATTGCTTCTCCTGACGTGCCATTGCTTCGTATACATACAATACATATGTAACTGTAATCATTACATATTCTTCCATATCTATATATAAATATATGTATGTAGAGGCTGCTAGAGAGAGCTGTCAAGTATTGTGCATGACTCCATAACCCTCTTTGTTTCTTGAATTCCTTTGACAAAATTCTTCATATCTCTTCACTGTAAATCGAATCAATCCCAGAGAATTTGAAATTCAGTGTTGATCAGTTTTTGCATGGATGGATTCTTCAAGTGCACAGAAACATCACCAGGTGGGATTGAATTAGTACTAAAGTATAAAATGATTGTACTTTGCAGAGTGTTTTTAGTGTATTTTTTTCTTTTCCTTCGACTTTTGGAATGATTTAGGGTTCTTGGTCTGGCCAAAACTATATATATAAAAGTTGATCGGGAAGAAAAAATTTCTGGGTTTTTGTTCATATCTTCACTTTGTTGTTCTGCCTCAGTTATAAATTTGTAGAATTTCCAGTCTTTTGGGACACAGAATTACTATGAATTTTGTTGATTCTTTGAATTACAGATTTTTTTATTTTTAATTTTTTTTAATATCTAGTTGGATTTAAGGATTTCTTTTGGCCTTCCATTCCAATTTCATGAGAACATAGTTAAAATTTTAAAAAGATCACAAAGAAAAATCCTAATCTTGATTGTGTTCTTGAGTACTCTCCTTTAAATCTTCATTTTACCTTTTCCCATCCCCAATTTCCAAAGCAATCTTGTTAGTGGCATAATTATTCCCCATTTTGGTCAAAGATACATGTGAGACTTAGGCCTCCACTTTCTAACAATTGACATGAAACATTTTATCCCATTCCCCCAAACATTAATCTAAGTTATGATATTGGGCTACTTTACTTGAAAATAAAAAAAAAACAAACTGATTTTTTTATTTTTTTTATTTATTTTTTTCAAATTATCTATTTTATACACTCAAATCACCCTAAAACTGATATTTTTTTTTTCACTTATACATGTATACATTTTACATACCAGTTTTGGATTTCTATAATGATTAGCAGGACATACTGGATGGTACGGTGCAATTAACTGGATTTTAACTTCATTTTCTTTATTAATTTAGTCAACTAATATGGATTATCACACAATTATTAATTTATTATTATTTTTTTGTTTTTTAGGAAATGGGTTCCCAAACACTAGAAGGCATGTTAGTATGCACAAAACCACAGCAAGAAAAGAAACCAAGGCCTGCTGAACAAGCCCTGAAATGCCCTAGATGTGAATCTACAAACACCAAGTTCTGCTATTACAACAATTACAGTCTTTCCCAGCCAAGGTACTTCTGTAAATCATGCAGGAGGTATTGGACTAAAGGTGGAACATTGAGAAATGTTCCAGTGGGTGGAGGGTGCAGGAAGAACAAGAGATCATCGTCATCGTCGTCCTCAAAGAGGAGTCAAGATCAACCAATCACGACGAAACCAAGCCCGGCCCTCCCACCACCTTTATCATCATATGCTCAATATTCCTGCAGTGATCTCAATCTTGCAATTGCTAATCTTCAAAAGGGACAATTTGGGTTCGATGATTCCCATGATTTTACAATGTTAATTAGTTCTAACATCTTGGGACATTGTGGGTTTCTTGGAAATTCAGGTGTCAACACCTGTGTTCCATTTGCATCTGCTGAGGTTTTTGAAGGTCATGGATTTCTTGATAGCACCTCAAATGGATTTTACCATGGATTAGGGAGTGGAAACATAGGACAATACGAAAATGGTAGCCGGGGATTGAATTTTAGTGAAGAAATGGGATCAATCCCTTATCAGGGTTCAACCACAGCATCAACTGCAGTCACAGCAGTGAAGCAAGAAATGCAGAATGCAAGAGAATTAGGTGATAGCAGCAAGGCATTATGGGGATTTCCATGGCAAGTTGGTGGGGACGGAAACATGGGGGAGTTACATGGAATTGGCTCATCTTGGCATGGACTTCTCAATAGCCCTCTCATGTAAAAGATTCTACAACTCACCTGGAAAATTAATCTATGTCCCTGCTAGGAAATTGACATTGATTTTTGATATCATAGTCTTCCATTTCTCAACACTTGAAACTCTGCCAAGTGCCAACTGTACTTGAAATTGGCAGTATTGGTTGCATCAACATCATATTCATATTTAATCCAAAGGGTTGGAATCTCAAAATATTCTTTGATGATTGTTTCTTGTTTTTTAGGTAGATTGTTATTAATACTATTATTATTATTACTACAAGGTGGTTATAATTAAATAATAATGAGGTTGATGGGTTTAGATTCTTTAGAAATTCAGTGGCATGATCCTCCAATTCAGGGATAGATCTTGGGGTAAAATCCAACAGCAGATTTGGGCGTGAGATAATAGTACGAGTTTGGCAGCATCTGGAATTTTTTTATTGAAAAAATATCGTACATTATTTTGCAAGACTTGAATCTAGAACATAATTAGCAAGACCTTGAATACAACTTTCCAATATCTAAACTAAAGACGACGAGGAGTTTTATGGCCCCTTAGTTCTTAAAGTCGGCGAATTTAGAGAGAAAATATAAGTACGAACTATGAACTGAAAAATGGACTCAAATAATGAATCAATAGATATGATAGACTAGTATTCCCAAACAGGATCCTTCTCCTACGCAGACTATTATTATCCGAAAATGTTTCAAACCGGACGCATGACCTAATCAATGTTTAAGAACTACCACCCTAAGATTTACTCTCGTGAGTACACTTGAGTTGTCTTCACTTAGTTATTGTACACATTTCCTTTATTGTTGCTTTCATTTAATTTTGAGGCATTTGTTGCATTTTTCAATTATTGGAAGTCAGGTATATGTCCTCCTCATTTCCTGTGTTTCAAATTTATTATGATATAAAATAGTCACACTAGTAGTCTTTGCAAAAATAATAATAATAATAATAATAATAATAATAATAATAATAATAATAATAATAATAATAATTGATTGGAGTAGAGGCGGAGATCGACTCGTCGACCAATCTAGCAATGGTGCACTGAGCCCAAGATGCTACACGTAGAGCCAACCTGCCGTCTGTCCATCTTTACCTTGAGTTAAGACCTTGAGCTTCTCCCATATCTCATATGACCGAAATCAGAAGGTCCGTGACTTCACATTCTCATTCTCGGAGATTGACTGTTTTGGGAATGAATAATGCCGTAGTGCCCAAAAATGGGTGACTGAATGGGTGATCGACCCTCACATGGAGCGTGGACCCCGTATAAATAAAATAATGTCCGACTCTCGAGATGTGAGAGCTCGATCATTCCGCAAGTCAACCATTATATTTTTGTAGCATGGTTCTTTGGGAATAATTTCAATTCAAAGATGAAGCGACATGTTACTGAATGAAATGGACAGAAAAATAATATATTATATTAATAAAATTATAATTGGTTATATAAATTGTTTTTTGTTATTGTTTTGCTCAATTTCTCGCTGGATATACTAAAATTATGGATACTATAATTACAAGTAAGTGTTCACAAGATTTAGGCGATTAATTTAATTTCATTGATTTCAAATATAATTTTTGAAATGATTGGCCTAAATGTCGCAAACAAATAGTTTCTAAACCAAGTTTGTACAAATAGCATAATTCATCCGGAAAGAGAAATTCAAATACATTTTCAACCATCTTCTCCAAATTGAATTGATGCTCGGCCGAATCACTTCACTTTCACCATCGTCAACCCGTCCCTTAATCCTTGCACCTACCAGTTTATCTGCTGAATAGGCTCTTGCCTCATCTAGTTATGTTGGTGCTTGTATTTTTTGTATGTATCAAGTTATAGTTGAATTGAAGTAATGATTTTTGTATTAACTACACTTTTTTAAACATTTTTGAAATACAATGTCTGGGGAAGAAGGAACAATTTCAATTATCTTCTCCATTGTGAAACACTTGGGTGGAGAGACAAAATTAAATCAATTTTCAATCAAAATGTCGGATACAGAATGTGCACATAAACTGTTTAATGAAATGCATTTGAGAAAATAGGTTTCATTAAATGTTATGGTAGCTGGGTTTGTACAAAAATGGGATGGAGAAAATTGGATTGGAGTTATTTGTGAGAATGAAATGTTTGGGGAATTATTTTCCTGGTGAATGTACTTTATCAACTGCTTTATCAAGTGTTGTTAACATTCAAGCCTTGATTTTTCGTTCGCAAATTCATGGTTACCTAAATTCTTCTTTATCGAAATGGATTGTGATCTTGTAATCGGTGAATAATTGTTTTTCCCCAAATGCAAGGTTACAATCCATTTGGTTGATTTCACTAATTAAGGTATTTCATTGTGATCGAAATAGTTGGAAGATTGTGACCTATGTTATTGTTATAAGTCACAATCAAATGTCACCGTAAGTCATAGACACAATATAATACAAATAGTTTTGTTGACAACAAAGTGATAGACCACGTTCACACTTATAACAAATACTCCCTCTATCTCATTTATATAGGCTGGTTTTCTTTTTTATATGGATTAAGAAACCATATTTAATATTATTTAAAAAACAATTTTTGTCAAAAACTTTCCTACTTTAACTTTATTTGTATTTGTATAATTTCAATATTAAATGGAAAAATTGATCATAACTAGACAAATTAAATAAGAGTATATTAGTAAATAAACAAAATAAAACATTTTCAGTAAAAAAACAAAACTATATAATTGGGACAGAAAAAATAAAGAAAGCCAACCTATATAAATAGGACGGAGGGAGTAAGTCGCAAAGTAATAGATCACATTCACAATTAAACATACAAATTGCTATTTCTCCAATGTTAGATGACTTTATTCATATTCTTCAATCGTACATAGAATAATGCTATTCATAGTCTCTGACTACTGTAGTCGTCCTACTTGACATCTCAGGTAAAATATTTTAATAATTTAAAAATAAAATTTTTAGTAATCATTAAAAAAGAAAGAGAATAATAGAATCGGCTTCAATTCATCAATCAGTCAGGACGGTGCCTCTTCTAAAAGACTAAAACCTTCTTGTCCCAAAATTTTCCCTTCATCTTCCTCAGTCTCCGGTATCATCAGCCGATGTTGGTGCCGTCTCCATTCTCCACCAGGTATTTATATTTATCTCTTGCCATCTTCACATTTTTTTTAGTAATTAACAAATCAAAATCAGTTTGATAAAAATGCAGTCGAAGGAAATACATGTATTATGATTAAAATTTGAGAAGATTTGGCTCATTTGTGCCTTCTCCAGATCCAGAAATTGGAAAAATTTCAAATCAGACTTTAAAGTGAAGAGATTCTTTAGCAAATGAGCTTATAGTGATGAGAAAAATTGTTAAAGATGTTTCTCCACATCCGTACATAATTCGTCTTCATGATGTTTGTGAAGACATTAGCTCAATGGTTTAGCTTCTTATCCTTTTAAATTTGACCCTTAGGAGAAATGTCAATACTGGAGTATAAATTATAAGCGACTATGCAAACGAGTGTTTTTCATAAGAAGAACGATCAAAATATTTAGTTGTACTATTTTATCTACAAATGGAAAATTAATTTTTCAAAGAAGCCTTCTTCTCTATATCAAATATTCGAGCATGAGCATTCTAGTGTGATTTAAACCCTCATCTGCCTCCATCATGGTCGTGTCATCTAATCTGTATTTCAAGAAAAAAAAAATTAGTGAAATTTAGTACTCTAAGTATTATGCCCTAGTTCCAATCAACTTTGGACATAAATACTTTTAATATATAATTAATGCGATTTAATGACAGATCTATTATTAATAGACAATAAAATTAAATAATAGAATCCGTAAATTCAAATTTTCGTAATTTATTAATCACAAGGAGTTGTGATTGTAAGATACAAATTATATATGATTGAATCTTAAATGTCCGTGGTCGTAAGTAATAACGAAATACGGATATCGTTATTACGGATAGACCATCACGTATAGCATTTCTTATTTATGAAATAAGTAGTTGATTTCACAAGTTAAAGTGTGGTGACATTTAAATGAACACGTTGATGTTTTGTTATAGAACAAAACATTGGAGACCTACTAAGAGATTCATCATGGATAACTATTTGAGTGTCAGTGGTTAATCTCTAATGTTCGATAGTGAAATTGGTCTTTTGACTTGAAGTTGTCATGGTACCTTATATGAGGATAATCATACTTTGACGGTGTTGGATGTTGCTCTGCCAAGGGTCGCTAATACAGTATCGTTTGAGTATGTCAAGAATTGTATAAATGTTGTGAATGACCAATAGAGGATTCGTTACTCTTAGTTAGTAAGAGATTATGATCCGCGTTTCATTCAGTTAAGTTGATAACGAAATCCTTGATCAAGGTGTACTCATAAGTCGAAAATGAACTTTCGACTTATATTGACTTAATAGTGGAGTGAAAGATATGATCGATAATCGAGATTGACCTACTTTCATATCTCTTAATTGATTGGATCATATTAATGAAGGGATTATAGTTTCACAGTAAACGAACAAGATTGATTTTGTCATACCACGTGACATTTTTCGTCACATGTATTGCCCTGATACATTGCTAGATATCAATCTGGGACGACGAGTGTGAATTTGTGATAAATTAAAAGTGTGTTTTAATTTGTCAATTTTGATCAGATCAAAATAATATTTCACATCGTTAGGTATCGTGATCGGAAATCTGATGGGTCGAATACAAAAGAAATTGGAAGATTGTAATTTGTCAATTAATTAATTTAACAATTGGTGGATAAATTAATTAATTAGGTTGATTATTTATATACCCAAATTAATTAATTGGATTAATCAATTCACGGACCGGTTTAATTAAATGGATTAATTAAATATTGGATCGGGTCAGACCAAGCTCATTCAGGCGTATTTAAATATGATTAGAGTTTTCAAAATCTGTAGAGAATTTTATTATTCTTGCTAGCACAAAAAGAAAATTATAATCCTACAATCTTGTTTTCAGTGTGGATCACCGTTGGAGGGTGGACAATTGGATAGCTGT